CCCGGCCGCCGCGGGGCCCCCAGTGCGTCCCCGGCGCTGCTGCTGCTGCCGCTGTTAGTGCCGCTGCTGGGCGCGCCGCGCGGCGTGGGCGCGGGGACAGGCGCGCCGGCAGAGCTGCGGGTCCGCGTGCGGTTGCCCGATGGCCAGGTGACCGAGGAGAGTCTTCAGGCAGACAGCGACGCCGACAGCATTAGCCTCGAGCTGCACAAACCCGACGGTACCCTCATCTCCTTCACTGCAGACTTCAAGAAGGTGAGGCACCCCAGTTCGCTGCCCGAGGTTCAGTAGCGCCAAAGCCTTCAAATGGGAAAAGATAGGATAAAGGCGTGACTTGCCAAGGTCACTCTGAGAGCTTCTGTGCCCCTCTTTTCCACTCCTCAGCGCCCAGACCACCGCCTTCTCATTCTCTCCACCAAACTTTTCTGCATCCCCCCCCCCCATCACCACCACTTCAACCTCCAGCCCCTTTGCCCTGGGTGCGCTAGCCCTTGCTCAACTCCCTGACTCCTTTCGCCGCTTATCTAGCTTTCCCGGAGCCTTCCAGATGCTCAGTGTTCTTCAAAAGAGTTAACTTAATAAACCGACTTCCTTCTTGCAGTCATTTCTGTGTGCTCTAGTGGGGAAAATCCTGGGCTAGGAATCAGAGATCCTGGGTTTTTACAGTTCATGTGTGATCTTGGCAAGTCCTTTCCCTTCTTTGGGTCTTGTTTCCAACCTCTATACAGAGCAGTGAGGTGAGTCCTAGCCTCTCAACACTAGCATCCCAGGCCATGAACCAACTCTGCCTCTGTTTCATTTTCCTGATTAGGGAGGTGGGGTTTCTAAGCAAAGCTGACTGACTCTGGACCCTCCCAAGCTGAGGAGAAGCTGCTTTCCTTTTTGGTATGGAAGATTGGGAGTCTTACAAGAGGAGGACTTAGGGAAAGGCGTCTGGTGAGGTCCCCTCACTGTGGGACACAGGTACCACCCCTTACCTGCCTGGAAGGAGAGCTAACTGCCATGTTTGGCATGACTGGGGCAAGAGGGCAGAGACTAGGCTCTGTTCAGATGTACATTGTGGGAGATGTGAGCCTGGCCCCTAAGGGGTGAAAAGAGTGTGCTGGCTGAGAGTTTAGCAGGAAATGGCCCTGGAAGGGTGATGAGTGACTAACAGTGACCTAGCAGCATTATTACTGGAGGGAAAGAAGGTGTGTGAGGTTTAGGTATTCATAGGGAGTCTCCTGCTCCCCACTCTCCTCACCCAGCTCCTCTCTGGGTATAAAGATAGCCTGTGAGGCTCTGGAGTCCCTGTGTGGTGCAAATCGTGAAGCACTGTTCTATACAGACACATATGGGTTTGCCATGAGTTGGACTTGACTCAACGCCAGCTGGTTTCTTTGTGAATATCTGTCTGTGGGGAAGTGGAGAGGTGACAGATTAGATAGCTAGGCAGCTGAGAAAGCCCAGGGCCTGTGGGACTATTTCCTGATCCACTTCTCTCCCTTCTCAGAGAATGCGAGCCTGAGGGAGAAGGACAGCGTTTGGGGAATCAGCTAAGGACCCAATGACATTGCCATAGATAGTATAAATGGAAGAGATTCCAGTGCATAGTGTGAGGCTTGACTGCTGATCTCCCAAGACCACTGTCAGTGTCACTGACATGGGATGTAGGTGGACTGGAGCATGGGGGCCTGGTGATCAGAGATGGAAAGGCTTGTGGCCCTTCCTTACTCAGCAGGCCCAAGCCAAGTTCTCAGATTCAGGTAGTGGCAGATGAACTTGTGGAGAGAGGGATGCTGACAGGGCCAGAAGATACCCTGCTTCCTCACCTAAACTTCAGTAGGATTTTTTCAATTGTTTTCTTTTCTTGGAAAATCCACATTAGAGGCTAGATCCCTGAAGAGACAGTGATCTAATCTTCCCCTCTAACCTTCCATCTGAGCCCTTTGTCTTTAAGAGTGAACCTCAGGCCAGGCTGAGTCTCCCACCTCCTGTCCACTGACAATCCTCCTATGGCTCCAGTGGAATCCTGGAGAGAGATTTCCTACCCTTGGCAACAGGGTAGGGCTGAGCTTTTATAGCCTCTGGCTTCAGCAAGAAGTTCTTTATTGCTCTGCCCTGAAGGGAGAGGAGAAGGAGAGCCCAGGTGGCAGGGTGGCAGAAATAGGGGAGTAAGGTTAAGGTTGAGGATGTGGTAGATGGGTACTGCAATTAGAGAATCCACTTGGAGCTGACTTCAAGAAGCCTATTTTAATCCCCACAGTGGTTCAGACCTCCAGATTTCCAAAGTCTGCTTTTCAGGTTAGCCTCTGTACCGGAAGCTGACATTTCACACCTGCCCCTAACAAGGAAGAAAATTAAGAGTGGAAGGTGTAGGGAGGGGAAACAGCTCTCCAAAACCCCTTCCAGCTCCAGGTTTCTCAGTTACCCTGGGCATGGTAAAGCTGGGGAATGCTGATCTCAGGGAATAGCCTGTACCATCTCTTCTCTCACAATCCTTTGTCTGCACCGGTCATAGCAACTTTTATATGTGCATCTTCATGGGCTGGGTCACCTCTCTTGGTTGCCTGGTCAGTTCTCAGGGCTTCATACCTCATAGTCTTTGGTAGATTCCCACAAGAAGGTTCTATGTAGAAGTAATGATTTTTCCTGTAGAAGAAAGACCTGGAAGTTGTGTTTGATTTTAAGTATCTAACCCATTTGGGTCAGTTCAGGAAAAATCCCTAGTCCACTTAAAAATAGTGCTGGCAGTTCAAACCCACCAGCCACTCCTCAGAAGGAAGGTTGGGCAATCCTACTTCTGTAGTGATACTGCCTCGGAAACCCAAGGAGGGGTCGCTATGAGTTGGGGCCGACTCGACGGCACATAACAACAACAACAACAACAACCCTTTTATCACCTTTGGGAGAGACAGTCCAGATTCTGAAATTAGATATACCTGGGGTTCACCAAAGGAGTGCTGGTGGTGTAGTGCCTAAGGTGTTTGACTGCTAACCAGAAAGTTGGTGGTTCAAACCCTCCAGCTCCTCAGAAGGAAGATGAGGCAGTGTACTTCCATAAAGATTTACCGTCTCAGGAACCCAGTGGGTCTCACTAGAAATTGATTCGGTGGCAGTGTGTTTGGATTGGTTTGGTTTTGGGGTTCATCATGTATTAGTTGATTGACCCAGAGCAAGCCACTTGATCTCTCCAAGCTTTCATTCATCTGTAAAATAGAGATAATAATAGGGCCAATCCTGCTGTTATTTTAAGAACTAAAAGGATAACAGTTTGCTCTCACTGGCAGTTCAAACCCACCCGGTAGTGCCATGGATGAAAGGCCTGGTGATATTCTTTCATGACATTGCAGCCGAGAAAACTCTACAGAGCAGTTCTACTCTGTAATGCATGGGGTCACCATGAGTCAGAATTGACTTGACAGCAATGGGTTTGAGGCTTTTTTGGAAGGAATGAGGCCCTCTAGCTGGCTGAACTCACCACCCAACCTCTCTCTCCTGTCCCTTCCACTCTCTCTGTTTGCCTCTGCCATGAAGCAGGCTTCTAACATGCTCTTATTCTTCCCACACTGGTCTTGATGCCAGTGAAGCAGTAACAGGAATCAGCCCACTGGAGGATGCCTAGCCTGGAGCCCCAGCAAGGGTTACTTACAGACTCCACAAGTTAGCGTGACTCTCTTCCAAATGGTCGGTCGTGCATTACCGGAAGCTCTGTAGATGATCAGGCAGGTTGAGTGTGGCTCTAAAAGAGATGGCAGAGCACAGTGGCTCCCAAACTTTGTCGTTCATCAGAATCATCTGGGAGCTTTGAAAATTCTCCATGCCTGGGCTGCCCTCCAGACCAACTGCACTACAAGGATGAGGGTGGGAGCTAGGCATCAGGATTTTTAAAGATTCTCTGGTGATTCCAATGTGCAGCACAGTTTGGGAAGGAGAGGCATAACTGCTCCAGGGAAGGGAGGGGGGACCTGAAAGAAGGACCAAATGAGGCTGTTAAATAAGAAAGACCCCAAACTCCCTCGCACATTTGAAATCCTGTCATTCTACTCACAGTAACCCCAGTGTGTTTTAAATATATATAACAAGGCTTCAAACCGGTTCATTCCATTTCAACCCCCTGCTGATAATTAGCATTTCTACCCTAGATACATTTTAACAATATTCTTACATATACATAAGAATCACCTGGGGAAAATATAGATTCTGATTCAGTATATCTGGGGTGGAAATGTAAATTCTTAGCAGGGGGTGAAACCAGAATGAACCAGTTGAAGCCCTGGTATGTACTTTAAGCCTAATTTTACATGCCCTCAGTATAAGAACTCTAATTCATAATATACACTCAATAAGCAATATTCCTTTTTATAATCCAGATCCTCTATATGTAATTATATCCATATGTACAGTGGGTTTGGATTTTTTTTTTTTTTTTTTTTGAGGGGGTGCATAATCACTGGGCATATAAAATAACAGGCATGTCACCATCCCCAGTCTCTAACCTGGAGTTTGGTCTGATGGCTTTCTTAGTTTCCCCACCCCTAACCCCTACCCCAAGCTGGTGTCCCAGTCCAAGCTCTCTTTCCCCTCTGTTCCCCTGTCTGAGGGTCCAAAAGCTGGGGAGGGGATGAATCATGTTCCAGGCAGCCTGGTGTGGAGCTGCCAAATAGGAGGGCAGGACTGAAAGATACAAGAGAAATCATGTATCAAGGATGGTGGGTGGACAAGGAGGGGGAAAGAAGGAGACATGGACTCCAAAAGGGTAGACAGAGGAGATGGAGAGGGCCAACAGCTGGAGCCTTGGAGAGAATAATCAAGATAAGAGGAACCATATGGCAGTGGGGTCAGGTCAGGGTCACTCTGAAGAGATGAGGACCCAGGGAGATTGGAAACTTGAGCCTTGCCTGGGCACTGATGGGTAAATATGTCTAGAGGGAGGGATAGCTAAGAGTGCCAGTGTCCCACCTTGGAGACTCCCAGTCTGGAGCTGGGGAACATAGGAAACATCTGGGAAGTGTCGTCATTAAAGTTGAGGGATGTGCAATTGGCCATGTTGTTGCCTGAGACTATTTATTCCAAAGGGATATCCCACACTATGGATTTCAGGAGAAGCTTCTAGGGTACAGTCCATCCTATCCTGCCTATGTTAGGGCCCCTACTATTTGGCGATTTGGCATGGAAGCTTGCGATGGATGGGGCACCTTCTTGGGAAAAGAGGACATTAGAAGTGCTTTCAGGGGAGGCCCAGACCTTTTTGGAATGCAGACCATTTCCTCAGG